TATATATATATATATATATATATATATATATAAACATCATATATAAACTGTAAATTGTAATAACTGTTGCAATATTACTGTTTTTACTGTATTACTGGTCAAATAAATGCAGTGACCATAATTTTCATTCCAACAGCATATTGTAGAAACACATACAAACAAGGAGTCAAAACCTCACCAGTGCTGAAGGTTTTATCAGCCTGTGGGTTGAGGCACCATGCACATGACCAAGCTGTGGAGATCTTAAAACTGCACAGCATCCCTGGTTGATCTGATGAAAAAAGTCATTTCAGTTTAATAAAGTGAAAACAAATAAAAAGTGTTTTTAAATTAGAAATGTGGGAGACCCAAAAGGAAACGATTTGTACCTGGATTGAAGTTGCTGAAAAGAGAAGCAGGTAATAAGCTTACACAGCCTGGGGTCTGAGAAATGCCCACCAAACACAACCTGAAAAGACTTGTCAAGAAACACTTCCTCATGGCTTAGAGATGTTTGTGACTTTTTGGTGATTGATTAATAGTCATTAATAGAGTAAATATGCAGGTATGCTCCTATTGTAATTATATAGGTTATGCACTTTTTAACAATTAACAAAGTGAAATCTGAATGAAGAAAGACTAAATGTGTTAAAATTAAGATGATATTAACCACCTCCACATCTGTTTTGTGGTAATGTTAACAATTAATTGACCATTTATTTTATTGGCCACTGGTTATGGAAATTCCTGAAAACTGACACACCATTAGCGTTTATTTAGTAAAACCACAATACAGATCTACAGTTTCAAAATAAGCATAAAAATAATTGAAGATTTAGTTTTTAGAACCTGAAATGTTTGAAGGATACAGAACATGCGAGTCTGTATGTGTCACGGAGGCCCAGCATACAGAGTTCACCTGAAACAAAATGAAAAGGAAATAGTACTATGAAACAACTTATTTTTGCCGAAAGGAATTCATTTTAAATTCCTCGGGTTACCTTGCGGTTAGTAAAATAAAGGTTATCGCACATCTCCACCGACAGAGAGCCCTTTCTGCAGCCATGGAAATTCATTATGCCATACTTGCAGCCTCCGTGCGACACATCGTTTACTGTGAAGACTCGCTCACAAGCTGAATCTGCCTAATAAGATGCATCCAGAAAAAGAAAAACACAGTCAGATTGAAACCACAATCACTGCCAAAACGTAATCTTCCTTCTGCTAGTTTTTCAAAGAACAGACAACTGGAGGCCAAAACCTCCAGTAACACCTGCCAGCAGCAATCCATTTCCATGAAAAAACAAAAATAAAAAAACGAATTGTTTAACTGTTCTCAAGTTGCCTGTCCTCAGCATAACATGTTGTTTTTCCACTGAGAACACATTTAAATGGACTGCGTTGCCACAGAAATCAAGTTTTACGTTTTTCCATTAAATGAGAGGCTTACAACAATGAGATGGAAGTTATCGGTGTTTGGGCTGGTGGAGTTGGAGCTCTGCACCTCCAGCCTGTGACGCTGCATCCCGCTTACTTTCACTTCATGGATCAGCCTGCAAAATGAGAACACCCTTGGAATCGAATTCATTTTGGGATCCATTTTTTTCCCTGGTAAATTACATTCTGAAAAAAAAAAAGTTGTGTCCACAAGATATTTTATGTCATACCTAGAATAGGAGCTTGGGGGCAGCAGACCCAGATGTCTCTTCTGTAACAGCAATGCAGAATTCAGCCCAGTCCTGGGAGCTTTCTGAACATATTAGGATGAAACAAGGAGGAAGTGAATCACCTGCACATTTCAACGCAATGATTTATTACCGACAAAACCCATCCAAATACTGCAGATATGCTTGTCCATAAAACATCCATAGAATTCTCTCAAAGAACTTTATAGTTGAAATTTAGTGCAAAATATGTGATACAAGCAGTGAGGACTGTCCATATAAACTACATTTACGTATAGAGGACATATTCAGTACTTCCCCAACTCACCTTCCTAGAACCATCATCCTCTGCCAGCAGCGCAGATCTCTTTCTCTCCTCTTCCTTTTTCTGGAGCCCTTCTTTTGTCAGAGGGTTACAGTTGTTGTGTCCAGGCAACAAACGAAAGTAGCGGTTCTTCTCTGGGTCAAAATAGAAACCTGGCAACTCTATAAATAATAATGGTTAATGGTTAAATGAATTAATTTGGACTGATAGGACAGAAAGCTGAGCAGAGAGATAATGAAAAGTAAAAGTTCACCTGGTGCAGATGAGGATGCTGTGGATGAACCTGCATCACCTGCTGCGCTTTCAGAACTAGAAAAAGGACTAATGTTAAAGGCTAATATAAAGTTAAATACAAGCCTAACTGAAAATAATCCAAATAAAATTTGACCGGAAGGAACTGAACTGCCAAAACCGCTGACTCTAGGTCTCAATACTTTAGTATTCACCCTCATGCTGTTTCAAACCTGTATGACTGTCTTTTGTGGAACACAAAAGGAGATGTTATGCAGATTGACAGCATTCACTTTGACTGCATCTTTTGTCCATAAAATGAAAGTGAATATTACTGAGGCATTCTTTCTGCTTGACATCACCTTTTGTGTTTCCCAGAAGAGCTCAAACAGGTTTGCAAGGACATGAGGGCGAGTAAATTACATCATTTTCATTTAAAGGAGCGTCTAGGTGAAAATTGATAGACTCAATCTGTGTTTGTTACCTATATTCTTGCTCATCGTGGGCTGAACGGTGTCTGTTCCGCCACTTTGACTGACTGTGCTGTCGATGACGGTCCCTGCCACTCGATCGCCAGTTCCCCCGCTTCATTTCTACTTCCCAGGGGTCATGTCAGATTAATGCCTTTAAATTTAAATAATGAGGCAAAATTATGTATTCATTTTTGGTTTTAGCACATATGAAGAAAAACCTAAACTTTTTGGAGTATTATTAAGAAACTGAGCAGTGATGAAAAGCACTGATTTGTTATGGAGCTGAACAAGGAGCTAGCTAACATGCTAAGACTACTATTATGAACACACACGTGGCTAATTCGTTTATGTTAACGGCTACTCCTGCAGAAGAGAACTCAGGTTAATATATTTATTGATCGCTGAAATAACTTGTAAACTTTATGTAAAAAAAGGAGAGTCATAATAAACATACCCGATAAAGATGCACTCGTGCTGACTTCTTCCTGTTTGGAAATATGATTTGAGAACACCAGGGAATTCCCGCCTCCTTACTGTTCATTGGTGGAACCCTGAGACTTGAAATAATGTGACTGGATAATGAGCTGTCAATCACGTCAGAGGCTGTCTCGTTGACATACAGAAAAATACACGAAGCTAAAGGATGAATAAAAATATGAATAGTTCTAATTAGCAAGATGTAAATCTGTTTTAATGATGATCGTTGTATGTATTGTATGTATTTATATTTAAAAGAAAAAGGGATAAAAAAACAATATAGGTACAAAATATATAAAGATAGCCTATATACTGTTTATTTACATTGTTAATTATATTACCATATGATATTGTTAATTAATTAAATTAAATTTTTATATTTAAAATATGCTCTATACAAATCACCAAGCACAATTATGTACCAAACTGCAATAATACAATTAAAATAAAAAATCTAGTTAAAACTGACAGATGAATGTTATTTTATAAAGACTACAAGAGGCTCTTATTCTGTTGCTGAATGTAAAACAACACATGCAGTACTCATATCCAGGGTTTAAATTGGGCCGGGGCCGTCTGGGGCTGAGCCCCGGCACATAGAGTAGACTCCAGGGCTCGACATTAACGCTTCATTAACGCCAGACAAAGTAAGCATGCTGAGGTAAAAAATACAAATTAAAATTTTTTATATTTAAAATACAGTTAGTTAGGCAACATCACACAAAGTTTTCACCATTACGACTGTTTAATAGTTAAATAAACAGTTAAATAAGCAAGTACAATAATATTAGGTCACTTACATTTTAGGCGGAACCACAGGTCATCTAACAGAAACCAGCAGATTCATTGCTGAATGAGTCCGTGTTCTGAACGAATCGGTTGAGTCAAAGTTTCATTAGCCCATGCATAAACATCTGATGAATCAGCCATTTGAACGAATCGATTGAATGAACAACTCAGTGACTCACTCATTACAACCTCACTACTGGCACCTACTGGCGTTTTAACTTAATTTAAAAGTATAATTTTCACCATCATTTCTTGTTTGTATAATACCAAAAAAATATTTAAAACAGTCTCATAACATTATTCAATGCAATTGTATTTTTTCAGTGTAAATGATTTAATTTGATAACGTAGAGATAACAATAATCACATTATTATAATTGAATTTATAGATTAAATGTAAGAATTTGAAATGAAATATGAAGTATTAATGAGGTTAGGGGGAAAATGCCCTCTATAAAGGTAAACAATGCCCTTGGATTAAATATAAACAACATGCAGACTTATATGTCACAGCTGATAGAAAACTGATAAGAATATTCTGTACCGTTTAGTCGACTAGTCGACTAAACCCGCACATCCCTAATATATATATATATATGCCCCAAACCATACCATATAATTTTGACAGCTCTCAGAAGCCACGCCCAGATTCTGATTCCTAGTATTGTATTGGCCAGACTGCCGGACACTGAGGTCCGTATTGGCTGTTTTTCTTTCACAAGGTTCCCAAAGAACTCAGAGATTTGGAATATTGGGTTACAGTGTGGCAAAATGGCGACGGTCATTCAGAATCCGCTGAAAGCGTAAGTAATTATAAACATTATTTTCGCTCGTTTTCGATAATGTAGCCTACTGTATTCCGCATGATTTAGAGCGTGGGTGCAAATCGAGTCTCGAAATAGGAATGTATGGACCGTGCATTTTGTATTTCAGGGAGTTCTGTCCCAAACGAATAACTGTTTACGTTAATCCATGCAGTTTCTCTTTGTGTGGGTGTGAAATGTGTATATACATATGTAAATACATTAGAAGCGTTGTGTTCGGACATTCATTCTGAAAAATATGCAATAAGTGTGTCTCAGCATTCAGGCTCTGATGGTCAGTGTTAGTGCAGCATTATTTCGGATGCAATGCTTTGAGAGGGTAACGTTACACACTCCGTTGACTTCTTTGCAGGACACCTAGATAAAGCCTCGGCCATATATGAAATATGTCGGGATGAGCTGTCATATGACTACAGGAGCGCGCTGTATGTCACGATAAACAACTTATAACGTAAAATAGTCATTTAAAGATGCAGATGCAACGTGGTGATGTAAATTGATTATATGTTTCGGTTGCATTATTGTTTTAAAAATGCCTATAAGATGATATCGAATAATTTCCCCGTTGTGGCCTATGGAGAACTGGCAGACCCTGTCACATACACATTGAGTATTGGAAAGTGGCAAGAACGAGTAAAATATGAAATATGTTAATTTCCCATAAGAATTAATTAGATAACTTTCTCTAACGCACGTACATCTTTCAGTTGTGTCAAGGCCCTTCGTTTTTGTACACCCGCGTGATAGTAAACATTACATCGGAAATGGTTTGATATGAGATATACATTGATATTTGCGTCGTGTCTGGTGAATAAACGCCGTTTTATTTGTGATGACATATTATAGTGATATAAAAAACAGGCTAACAATAATGAAGTCAAGATATAAGTGATGAATAACAATGGAATTCACTGTCCTGTTCTCGGCTGTTTGTCTGTTGAAGTGCATGTGACAGAATTCCAGGTTCTATTACATTACATTTATTAGAGCTTTAAGAAGAGGTCAGAAGGGTTTGTCCTTATTACTGGCATTTGTCAATACCTTTTGGTTTTAACTGAGTAGTCCTGATGTGGAACTTTGTAGGAATTGGTTTTAAATATTTGATGGAGAAAGAAAGGATTTACTTCCGGTGTGATGTCTAATAATCATTAATCTTGACATTAATAAAGCAAATACATGTCACCGTTTGAATTTCACATATGCATTTATCTTATGCTATTCCTACATTAAATAGTGAGTGGACAAAATGTGGAATATTTGCAGTTCTGCAGGCATTTAAAAGAAATGAAAGAAAAAGTTTAGGTATCTATGTTTCAAAATGGTTAAAGATCAATAAATACTCATACTATATAATATATGTGATACATATATGTTATATTTATGTAATACCTAGTCATGTTTTATAACCTATAACATATTATATGTGTGTGTGTATTGCATAACTATATTGCATGACATGAGTAACTATATTATTTTCAAAATGTGTCTTTTGGTCATGTCTTATCTTGCAAAGGAGTGAGCTAGGATTGCACCTGGTGCCTCTACAAAAAAAAAAAAGAAATAATAATAATAATAATTAACACCCTTGGATTCATACCAGCCTAACTCATAGTTACTTTAGTGATTCCTCTCCATTCAAACTTAAGCTGATTTGTCGATGTAAGTGTGTACACTGAGGGTGATGCACCATCTCTAAATGCTGTGGTGGAGCAGATTTGCAATATCCCAGGATCCCTCAGTACCCATCTGTTCTGATGACTAGCCGCAGAGATGTCAGTGGGCAAGAGACAGAGCCCCATCTGCTCCAGATCAGGGACATAAAGCTCCCCTCCCATCCCACCAAAAAGACATCAGGGGGTCACTGGGAGCAGGAAAAGGAGCCGTATTCACCTGTCTGAGCACACTTTTATGTTTTTTCCCTCTTCCCAGTGCTATTATTCTAAATACTTTGCTATAAAACAGTAAGCATTTTCCCTTATTGTGTTATGGAGGAATCTGTGAATGTTGGACTTGGTTAACAAAGACTGTTACTTGTATAATTTGGCTGTTTTTTTCTTCCTCTGTAAATCTCATTATGTTGCCCAGGCAAATAATGTGTTTCTTGTCTGGTTGTTTGTTTGTTGTGAATGAGATTACTTCCCACCGCTGTTAAATACAAGTGTTGTTTTCTACCAAGGAGCAGTCATATTATATACCGTGTTCAACAGCATTTGGTCTATTCATTTATTAGTGTCTGGAGAGCGGGGTCTGGTGGTTTGCGTACGTTTTGTCACATATAAATCGAGGGGGGCGTTGAGGGGGTGAATATGTGGGGTTTAGGTTAAGGCGCTTGCAGTAGCCTGCTCCCCTCCCCCCCATCTTCATCTGTCTGGATGCATTTCGTTTTCACATTACACATGTAGCGCGCATAGGTAGCGCGTCAATTCTCTCTCCCTCTCTCACTGCGTGTGTGTGAAACAAAGCGACGGGGATGTGCGCCTTCACACTAGAGTTTACGGTACGTTAAATACAGGTGCGTTGCACATCCATTCAGATGAACTGAAAAACAGCACAGATCGCTTGACGGAGAGTGAAACTCTGAAGCGCTCAGTCAGAGAGTGTTCGGCGAGTGAAAATATATCTGAGCTAAACTTATACTTAGCCTCCAACTCACACACTGGCGAGTAAAATCTGAGAATTTATTAGCAATTGGCTAATATTAGACATAATTTAGTCGCCCAGAGTGAAGATTTAGTCACATATGCGAGTGATTTACTCGCAATGTAGAGGGTTGCTACAACCACTAAAAACACCGTTGAGCCAGAGGTCTTTTGTGTGTCCAGGAACCCCCTGTTTGTGCTGATAGACTCCACTACTCTAAACCCTTTTCCTGTTTTTCTTTTTGTATATGCCGAGTCTCTTTAAAAACATGTTTTTACTCAGCTGAAATAATATGGTTTGCAAAAGAAAAAAAAGAAAAGAAATGGACTTAAAATAATAAACTAAAAAACTGAAAGGAAAGCATATTTTACATGCCTCTCTTCATTCCATTCCATAATCCATTTGCAAACAGTCTAGACCTCTACATCACCTTTTTTCTTCTTCTTTTTTTTTTTAAATAAAGACACTAAATATTTGCTAACAAGGCCGACAACTGAGCACTCCATTACTTCCTCGAGCTCTTTTGGCCTCTCTCTCTTGCTGAAGTCCCTTTCTTTATTCACCGCTGAGGGGTTTCTCTCAGAATGTGAGCGATATCATGAAAGCACAGCAGTCTGATGGGGCACCTATAGCTTCCTCACAGCCTAAATTTGCTCTTCAAGACTGACTAAAGAGGTTCAGAGCAGAGCTGAATTAGGTATTGCTTTTCCATTACAGTCATACATTATTTCACAGATACATAATAAATCGTAAAATTACAATTTCTGGGTGCAACTTGCACGTGAATTACCATAAGAAAAGGCATCTTCTAAATACTTACACTTCCACGAGTGTTTTATACTGTGGGTGAGTATAAGCTTCAAGTTTGTTTAACTATATGATTTGCCTTATGAACAGGGATAGAAGTTTATTAACACTGAAAACCAATATAATACACTACCATTCAATTTTTTTGTGTCAAATAAATGCTGTTCTTTTGAACTTTTTATTGAACAAAGAATTCTGAAAAAAAAATGTACAGTATCATGTGTTCCACAGTACATCTGTTTTGACACCGACAATAATAAGACAAGTTTCTTGAGCATCAAATCAGCATATTATAATGATTTCTGAAGGATCGTGTGACACTGAAGACTGGAGTAATGACTGCTGAAAATTCAGCTTTGCCATCACAGGAATAAATTCAAATTAAAATAAATAAATTGTAATAATATTTCACAGTATTACTATTTTTTTTCTGTATTTTTTGTTATCAAACGAATGCAGCCTTGAGCATAAGAGACTTCTTTCAAAAATATTACAAAATCTTACTGACCAAACTTTTGAACGGTATATTTTTCCAATATTAACAGATGAGTACTGATAAATAAAAAATCACCAATGTCTGCTGATAATTGATATGGTCCTGATATATCATAGTGCAAAAAATTACAGTAAAAATCTGGTTTATATTCCATTAAACAAAAATGAAACCTGCAATTAATGATTAAAATTCAATTAAGCTAAATTGTTAAATGCCCAAATTCTGTTGTAAAGGATCAATGCTTTTTGGTATGGCAAACGTAGCCCCAGTAATTAATGGTCAGTTGGATTAACAGGCATGTAATGAGTGAATGTAGTGAATGTGGTGCACTCAGTGCCCTGGGTGTTCAGAGAGAGAGAGAGAGAGAGAGAGAGAGAGAGAGAGACACTGAGACACTATAGCTTCTGTTTTCAGCCTCTTCATCTCCCTATAGACACAGAATAGAGCCTGACTGTGATGGATCACTCTCTCTCTTCTCACTATACACCGTGGAGGGCAAATCCCTATTCATATCAACACCTCCCTATATCCTCACAGCACAGACTATTTTAAAATACCCATACAATCACATAAAAAGCTGTAAAATGAGAGGTTTTGAAGAGGTTTAAAGGTGACATATTTCTGTATCTGTAGCAAACAGAGCATTTCACAAATGCCATTGGTCTTTGAACAAAAAGCTCCGCCCCCAAATTAGCACCATTGGTTGAGCCAAATGTTGCTGCGTTTAACATAAAAAATGGCACACATCATCTGGAAATCTGGACTTCTTATGAAGCATTTGTAGTGAGATTTGTGAATGAGCTGATTTGAACAAGCAAGCCAAGATGATTAAAAAAAATCTGAAAGTGCATTTCAGTTAAAGCAGATCTTGTTTATTTGCACTGATGAAAAGCTTCTTTAGGAAGTGCTTTGAGACAAGATGTCTCTGTGCTGGCCTGTTAACTAATGAAAGCTTAATCACATTTGGAGAGCCGGTTTACAAAGCACGTGTCTAATTGAAATGCAGTGCTGATTATCATGACGGTATGCATATGTATTTGAATACGAACAACAATTCTCTGAGCAACGCCTACCTAAGCCAATGATTATTCATGGACACCTGTCCTTAGAGAGACCATTCGGATTAACTCAAACTAAAGGGGTCATTTGAATATGAAAGACATCTTCTACATCCTTAAGAAGTGTGGCTATGTTCTTTTGAGACACAAAGGAGACACCCCTGTTGTTCAAGTAATATGAATATAGACGCTGGCTGAGTAAAGGGGCCTCCAGCCTCTGAGTTACACACAAAGCTGTGAATGAGCCGCAGATCTGCTCTGTTGAATAAAGAGTAGGTATTAATTTCCTAAGAGCAGCCCAGGCACAAAGCACATGGCTCAGTGCAGAAGGTTCATTTACAGTTTTCATAAAGGCTGAAATAGGCTCATAGAAAAATGCTTGTTTACAAATGCATTTGAATTGGATGTGTGAAAAACTGAATAAATGTTTAGTCTTCAGCTAATTTTCTTTGCTCTACCTCACAATGAGAACATATTTTCAGCAGTGTATTTTTCCTACAAACAAACAATTATTTGATATAAATTTGTTTTCTTCTAAACTGGTTATTGGGTCTACCAATTTGGCACCATTTATTTTCTAGCTCACAGCATGACAGATGGAGGCGCCGGTGCGGTCACTTGCTCTTAAAATACTCTCAACTGTATATGAATCCAAATCCATATGAAACTTGCATGCAGGCACATTCACTACTGTGGAGATGAAGAGTCAGTGTCGCCGACTTCATCTCTTAAGCCGAAAACACAGAAAACACTAGTTTATCAATAGATTATTAAAATGCTAATGCAGTTTATTCCTTCTGTTTTTCCCTGACACATTCATCATCATTACTTCTGCCTGTGTGTCGTGGCAAGCTTTATGCGTGCACTTGAGTGCTTATTAGGCTATGTAGGCAATTAAAGGCTCATTAGCTTGATTAAAATGGTTTATTAATAAACGTGCGATTAGTCGACTAATGCTTAAAATGAACGACTACTAGTCGACCAGAAAAATCTTTAGTCGAGGGCAGCCCTACTTTTAACCACAACTTTTTCCTCAATAAACTCCTAATTACTGCTTATTAATAGTAAGGTAGTTGTTAAGTTTAGGTATTGGGTAGGATTAAGCATGTAGAATAAGGTCATGTAGAATATGTGCTTTATAAGTACTAGTAAACACAAACAGCCAATATGCTAGTAATATGCATGCTAATAAGCAACTAGTTAATAGTGAGAATTGGTCCCTATACTAAAGTGTTACCTTTTATACTTATTTGTACTATTTTATAAATGTACTATTAAGTATGAAATATAAGTAAATGAAAATAATAACACATAAATAACACAACAACAAATACATGAATAGTTAAAGGGGTCATATAATGCGATTTCAATTTTTCCTTTCTCTTTGGAGTGTTACAAGCTCTTGGTGCATAAAGAAGATCTGTAAAGTTGCAAAGACTAAAGTCTCAAATCCAAAGAGATATTCTTTATAAAAGTTAAGACTTGTCCATGCCCTCCTAAAACAACTCGTTCTAACATGCCCCCACATGTCTATGTCACTGTGTGGGAAGATTTGCATAATGCACTACAGTTTCCACAAACATAAGCAGAATTTTTTTTTCCCAACACTGATAATAAGAAATGTTTCTTAAAGGGGTCATATGATGCGATTTCAATTTTTCCTTTCTCTTTGGAGTGTTACAAGCTCTTGGTGCATAAAGAAGATCTGTAAAGTTGCAAAGACTAAAGTCTCAAATCCAAAGAGATATTCTTTATAAAAGTTCAGAGTCAAAACACATTGCATTACACCAAATACACCAAATAATGTTATTTTTAGCAACATCATATGACCCCTTTAATAATAATAATGAGACAATGTTTTTATTGTTTAGTATAATTATTATTGTCAAAATGCAGAAATATAATAATAAAATAAATTATTTTTAAAAGTAATCATGATCATTTTCTAATGATAATTAATTTAATGTTAAATATATTATTAAGTATTACATATACAGAATTTATATATATATATATATAATGTTTTTATTGCTGCAGTATAATGATTATTCATTGTTATTGTCAATTTTTTATTGCAATAATTCAATAAAAAAATTTGGATTTTGTTTATCAGACACTTAATATTTAATACATATTATAATTATTAATCAAGCCATTAAAATAATTAGTTGCCATTTCTTTTTCCATTCAACGTGCATTGTAGATGTTTTGCACTGGTCTACGTCTTTAGAACCTCACAGAAGAATTGAAATCCATAATGCCCTGTTATGATACCTAGCTGAATGTTTACACATTCCAGTGTCATACCATCCCACAATTTTGGTGAGCTCACATAGACTGTGAGAAACCCAGCTTTAACCTTTCGCTTTCAAATTGAAAGGATTTTACTTGACCAAAGTCACATTTCTGTTTCCTGACCACGTTATTATAACATGCATCATCTATTGTACCTTCATGCTCTTGAGAGTTGTGAAAATCAAATACTGTGAGAGATTTATTAAACATCCCTTCTATTCTCCTCAGTCCATAACTAGTCCATAACTAATTGACATTAAAAGAGTGAAGATCTCAACGACCTTCAAGAGGCTCTCTTTATCCGTGCCTCCAGGGAGGTGGCAGAGAGAATGCGTGTCTTCCAACACATCAGTCGAACTGTTTACATAACTGCTCCACTCTGTTGACCAGAGTCCTTGCCTCGAGTGTAATACGGGAGGCCGTGAACACACGGTATGTTTATAGTAGAGGTTTTGTATGGGGGAGGCTGTATGAAGCGTGGTGTCCTCACACAAGCTCTCTCCTTAAGATGGTGCTGATAGACACCGTCATCATCAGCCGCTCATTGGTAAGCACTTGTCATCTCTAGGGGCCGTTATGGTTTTGTTTAAGGTGCTGAAAAGTAGTTATAGATCGACTGAGAGGGAACTTGAGTTGAGAGCCATCAGGGCAGTTTAGTCCAGTGGAGCATGTTGATGATTATGGTGATAGCGGCTTTCGCGCTGGTCGTGGGCGCTCTAATGTGGGCCTCTGTCACTGCAACTTACATAATAACTCCTGCAGTCTCCAGCTGATAGCGCAGGCATTTCGTTTCAGGGAAATAATGCTCACAGGAAGCCCAGGAAAAAGGGTGGAATATGGTGAATGCTGGAGTAAGGAAGAAATGTAGATCTGGAGATTTTCAAGATGAATGATGAAAAGAATCAAGAATTCAACAGCTGATTTGGGAGATAATACTGTTTTCAGTATTTTTATTTATTGATTTTTTTGGTAGAGACTGGAAATCATTCTGGTTTCTATTTTGATTTCAAATATATTCTGGTTTCTTATTTTTATTAATGATTATTTTAGTAATTTCAGAAAGAATGGATGATGTTTTGACAACAGAACAATGAAATTCATATTTATTCCATCTAGCAATTGTTATATCACCTAAACACATACAGTACTTTCTATATATATACTATCAGTGTGGCATGTCACTTGTGACAAAGAAAAAAAAGCCAAAAATGACAATGCTATCATCATTTACTCACCCTAATGTCGTTTTAAACCTATATGACTTACTTTCTTTTGTGGAACACACACACACACACAACAATATTTTGAAGAGTGTTTGTACAAAAACAGTTGAAATAGTGAAAGACAATGGGGTCCAAAATATAACGTGCAATATAACGGTGTTGACTGTGATATCTTAAAAGTGAAATAATGACTTTGTGTTAATACTACACATACAGTAATATTGTAAATAACTAATTTTGTATTAGTATTTGAAATTTGAAAACAGGTTGATACTCCAACTAAGCAGGTGGTGGTATTGTAACACTGGTTACCACCCATCATGGAAAACAAAACGGAAACGGAAAACAAGTGGGAGTTTTTTGAATCCTGTAAAAAAAAAAAAGAAAAAAAAAAAATATTTTGAGTGTTATTCATTGGCCAAAAAAAATAAATAATAAATTGCATTGGTGATAGCATTTTTCCTCAGAATTTCTATATATGGCAATAATATCGCTATTGTCAAATCTTTTGGCCAGGATAATTGTGTAGTGAAAATCTGACATCGTGACAGCACTTGTCCAAAACAACAGTGGACTCTGTTTTTCAAAATATGTTTTTTTTTTTTTTTGTAAGAAAGAAAGCGATAGGTTTGGAATGATACGAGTAATATGAACTGTTTTCTGTTCATATTTACAGACGTTCCAGAATGGTAACAGTATTATTTTAATGGAAATGGTTCTGAATAAGAACTGGTTTTCCATTCTCAAACCTACTTTTGGGAGTAGACTAGGCTATCAAATGTTAGTTGTCTCATTTGTCTTTCTCAGACCTTTGCTTTTCATACCTGCCTGCTCTTTTCTCTTCTGCTCCCTCTAAACACTGAGGCTCTTTGTGTCACCATGCTGAGTTGGAATACTCCTCTTTGTCCAGCACAGCATTCCTCACATATCTGTGTATCATCTAGTCCAGAGAAGAGTGATCTAATCGAGACAGGAGGCAGGTATGGGGAGAGAAGCCATGTAGGCTGGCTCAGGTCCAGTGTCTTTTCTGTCTTTCAATTTGGAAGTTGGTAGTCACATCTCTGTGCCTTTTGACTACCTAGAGAATGTCATGGATGACACTGTAAGTCTGTGGGAAAGTGAATTGTGAAAAGAAAGCATGTCCCAGAGACTCAACACAACAGCACAAAACACTTGAAGCTGTATTGATCTGCAATGGTATTAGCCAACAAAAATAGCCCTATCTTTTCCAAAGCAGGTTCTTTAAAACTTAACGTCTTCATAGTCTGACTAATGTATGGAAGTTTAGCCTGTAATGAGGTATTTGGATACTATTAATTATTAGTTGAAGGTGGCACTGCTCAGAATCTCTTTTTAATGATTCACACTATATAGACTGGCATGGTTTATGCTAAAGCCAGGCTTCCTCACCAAAAAATGTGTCTTCCTCAGGCTCGGGGACCAGTTCTACAGGGAGGCCATTGAGCACTGTCGCAGCTACAATGCCCGCTTGTGTGCGGAGCGCAGCGTACGCATTCCCTTCCTGGACTCTCAGACGGGCGTAGCTCAGAACAACTGTTACATCTGGATGGAGAAGCGGCACCGGGGGCCAGGTAGCCTGTTCTGCATTTACCTTTAAAATAACATTAACGTCAAAAAGATTTGGAAGAAAAAGTTGACTCGAAATGAAAATTCATTATTTACTTATCTTCATGTTCTTGCAAACCTGTATGCGGATATTATTATTATTTTTATTTATTTATTTTTTGTGGAAGAGAAAAATAAATATTTGTGAAGAATCTTTACTGTTCACAGTCTGTTAAAGGCACAATATGTAATTTTCGCCGCTAGAGGGCACGTATTCAAAATAAACAAATAGACAAAGGCGTAATTTGATGACCCCGTGAGTCGTGACTGAGTGTGGAATCATGGGAGTTGTCGTCTTCATCCCCACAGCCGATGCAATCCGACGGGGACTCGGACAGAAATCACGTTCATGGATGAGCTAATGATTTCAAATAAAAGGCTCCAATAGATTTTAGAATCATTGAGCATGTGTGATTTGTTTGTGTAGAGATCTGACGGTGAGGAGCAGGGTGGTCCAGGGGAGCAGAGATCCAGTCCAGCTCGTCCTCCATTTGGTAAAAAGCAGCTTCCCTCCATCCCAAAGAATGCCGTCCCCATCACTAAAGCTGCATAATATAATATAATATAATATAATATAATATAATATAATATAATATAATATAATATAATATAATATAATATAATATAATATAATATAATATAATATAATATAATATAATATAATATAATATAATATAATATAATATAATATAATTGAACGAATGAATAAATAATATAATATAATATAATATAATATAATATAATATAATAAATATAATATAATATTAATATTATTAGCATTTATTTATTTAATAGAATGTATAGCAAAACACATACAAGGCTAATATTATATAATAATATTATAAAACTTGTATACATTTATTAAAACAATAAATAAATAAGTGATTCACCATGCAGTAACTTTATGTGAGGAACTGACTGAAAGTTAAACTTGACAACTGTATAGGTGATTGAATCACTCTTTTTGTGTTTTTTTTGTGTGTTCTTTTCAACGAAGTGAATCTTTAACAAGACTGATTTGTTCATGAATTCAGTGACTGATCTGGTCACCGTGGTTCTTGAGTTAACAGCTCAAAGAACGGTAGGATTATCACTGAATAATGGGTAAAATTTCAGCCTGTTTCTATTGAGAACTAATGAATGGTAAAATTGTAATTTTATGGGGGTTTTCGTTTTGTTTTTGGAGCTTAACAGCCAGTCAGTCATAGGAGATTGGGATGACATGGCGGTGAGTAAATTATATTTTGGGTGAACTCTCCTTTTAATGAAGAGGTGTAGTGTGCTAGCATATATTAGCAATATTTTACTTACAGTATATTGCATATGTGTTCATGTGCATTAAATGAACTACAGAAGGAGTTTGTAGGGTGCTGTCATCTCAAGACACAATCATCTAATCAAATGTTTAAAATTGGTAGACTGCATCATGTCCAGTCATTCTAGTTTTTTTTCTCACCACAGCCATTTGGATAAGTTGGACTTTGGCACTTTACACTCCAATTTTAAAATCCACTTAAAATGCAGCTATTTAATGATAAAGACTGATGAATTTCATTTTAAAGCAGATGGCACAGAGAGTGCAATCAAACTTAGTGTTGATGAGTGTTTATACAGCATACTAGTCTTTAGGAAATTGTAAGTTTGTAACATGTTAAACAGTGCATTTGTCACGTTGCACACACAAGGGACGAGGAGACGCTGGAGAATATGTTGACAGGACTTTATTTGCACCAAGGGAGACGAAGCCTGGAGCCCTCCCTGGGCCTAACGGGGAAACACGAGCCCTCCCTGGGCTTAACTGGGGATCTGGAGCCCTCCCTGGGCTTAACTGGGGATCTGGAGCCCTCCCTGGGCTTAACTGGGGATCTGGAGCCCTCCCTGGGCTGAACTGGGGATCAGGAGCCCTCCCTGGGCTGAACTGGGGATCAGGGTAGCGCTTACGTGGCGCTGGCACTGGAGGGTGCTCTGGCGGAGCAGGCACAGCAAAGCGCTTTCGAGGAGCCAACACTGGAGTGAGCTCTGGGGCAGGGGCCGACACTGGAGTGAGCTCTGGGGCAGGGGCCGACACTGGAGCGAGCTCTGGGGCAGGGGCCGACACTGGAGCGAGCTCTGGGGCAGGGGCCGACACTGGAGCGAGCTCTGGGGCAGGGGCCGACACTGGAGCGAGCTCTGGGGCAGGGGCCGACACTGGAGCGAGCTCTGGGGCAGGGGCCGACACTGGAGCGAGCTCTGGGGCAGGGGCCGACACTGGAGCGAGCTCTGGGGCAGGGGCCGACACTGGAGCGAGCTCTGGGGCAGGGGCCGACACTGGAGCGAGCTCTGGGGCAGGGGCCGACACTGGAGCGAGCTCTGGGGCAGGGGCCGACACTGGAGCGAGCTCTTGAGCCACTGATATGAACATTAAACGCTCCTCCATATGGGGACGTGGAGGAGCGCACGGGAAAAAAGGGCGAAACAAAAAACTTACAAAAACCGGAAATCAAACACTTGGAAGGGATGCCGCTTACAGTTCGGTCCGCTGTTCTGTCACATTGCACACACACAAGGGACGAGGAGACGCTGGAGAATATGTTGACAGGACTTTATTTGCACCAAGGAACCAAGGGAGACGAACACAGGAAGACGTTCACACGAAGACGTTCAACAGCGGACAGAGAACTTGGGACTGGGAACACATTTTATACACACACACAGGAGGAGGGGATGACGAGACACACCTGGGAGCAATAAACCATCATGGGGAACACCTGGGACAAATTAAACATGGGAAAGGAACACCTGGGGAGCAAGACACAGACAAAACATGGAACAGAGTCTGACAGCATTCATTGCACTATTCAATGTAATGAGGCAGAAGTATGTCTCTAGTCTTTCCACAGCATTTCTTACCTTATTATCTGACCAAAACAGCCAATATCTAGACATACAGCTGCCAAAGGGAACAATATGCCTGCCGAGAACTGGACACAAATAGTCAGCACCTCGCAGCTAAAAGCTCCATAGCCACACCCTACACTTTGTGGTAGGCCAGTGTTTATTGGATGTTTTTTATTCTGGATGACCCTGAGAATGACCCTGTGAAAACCCTTGATGCCAGCGTTTTTATTTAAGATGTTTTATTCAAGTTCTTGTGTTTAACGCTCTATCCAGATAAGACTAGTTTTGTGTTTCTCAGAGTGATGCCTGTAAGTGAAAATTTACATTTACATACACTGTCCTTCAAAAGTTTGGGGTCAGTAAGATTAGTTTTTAAAGAAATGAATACTTTTATTCAGCAAGGATGCATTAAATTGATCAAAAGTGACAGTTAAGACATTTATAAACACAAAACATTATTTCAATAGTAAATTCTGTTCTTTTGAACTTTCTATTGATCAAAGATTCAGAAAAAAAACTGTTTTCAACATTGATATAAATAAGAAATGTTTCTTGAGCACCAAAAATTTGAATTATTTTTTTATTGATTGATTGATTATCTGGAGTAATGACTACTAAAAAATAAGATTTGCTATCACATAAATAAATTACATTTTAAAATATGTTAAAATGGAAAACAGTAATTATAAGTTGTAATAATATTTCACAATGTTGCTGTTTTTACTATATTTTTTATCAAAAAATGCAGCCTTGTTGAGCATAAGAGACTTATTTAAAAAATGTTGTTTTATGTTTCTTTTTTTTTAAATAATTTTCTTTGACCTAAGAGCACATGACATCTCATAACATCCACATTTAGACAATAGATTCTAATCCAAACTGGTATATGAAATCACAAATATCCTCCATTATTAATTTCAACCTAAACATTGTTTACAAAAATAATCCCATCCAAATAGTGCTTATATGAAGAATGTGTGTAAGAGCCTATTCAAACCATGCTACTACTGTCTGTTTGATTGCAGGGTTGGCAGCAGGTCAGATGTACACCTACCCAGCGCGTTGCTGGAGAAAGAAGAGGCGACTTCACCCACCACTTGACCCCCAGCTTCGCCTTTGTGAACTCCGACTCGGTGAGATCATGATTGTGGCTAATTGTGTGATTTCTCTCAAGCTTACATTTTGGTTTTGAATTCTTTCTTGCTGTGCTTGCTTTTCTCTCCGTCCTTGCTTCTTTGCTCTGAGGTCATTCAGAGGCTGTAGAACTGGCCCATCTGGGTCTCATTATCCTTCTCTGTGTCTGTGTGTGCCCTGACCGGGCCCCTTTAATCATTTGGCCATGCAGCATTAGAATGTAAGTCTTGGAGACTGATTGGGGGGCTACAGAAGGGCTTGAAGAACTCGATAAAGGCACATAAAGGCCTGGCTGTGTCAACAAGAAAGCCACTCTATTATTTTCTTAGCTGTCCCTGGAAATATAATAGCAGTAAAGCAATATAAGAACCCCTGACCTTCATTTGGAGCTCAGCCAGCATGAGTTCAGTAGAAAAAAACTGATTCAGGCCTGGAAAAAAGTATGATTGCTTTCCAAAAATGTAGATATCAGAAGGAGGATTTGAGTGACAAAATAGCTCCTACCAAGTGTCATACAGGAACTGTAATTAACCCCTCCAAAGCACCCCTCAAATCACATTCAGACATTTTGGCATGATGAATATTTAAGATGCATTGTAGTCTACTCTTAGGGATAGTTCATGCACAAATTAAGGTTTTGTCATTATTTACTCACTCTCATGTTGTTCAATTTCTATATGACTCTTTCTTCTGTCTTTTTGAAGAATATACACTAACGTTTAAATGCTAAGATATTTTCATGTTTTTGGAAGTCTCTTATGCTCTCCGAGGATAAGTGCAAACATGAAGATAAGTAAATAATGACAATTTTAATTTTTGAGTGAACTATCCCTTTAAGTTATGCGTTTTCCCGAGTCCTGGAATCGTAATATTTACACTATAGCGAGGCATAATTCTGCTCTGTTACAGCAGGACATCATTCCTAAGCTTCCTGCCTGAAATGTGTTTGTGTTGTACATTTCTGGGGGCTCAGCCACTGTAAACAGGTTTGGTGTCCAATATCCCATCCAAGTCTGGTTCATAACGACAAGCAAGCAAGCAAGCTCAGTTCCTATGTTCATGTTCACCTACATATGCTGTCTTTTTCTCCACAGCAGATGTGGCATGTAGAACAGCCTCTAGTTCAATAAACTGATTCAGTCAGGCTATTTTGCCTGCTATATAATCACGCCAAGTGACAATACCACATAGCTGCATCTCAGTGAACTGATATATTCATTATGCTCTACGCTTGCTATATGAAACGGAGTCCTCAGCGTGATCTTGCTAATTTCTTAATTAAAAGCAGTACATAGTCTTTCCAGTCAGTGTGTGCCTTTTCAGTGCCAATGTTGTGATTTAATGGCATGCATAAATATTGCAGTGCTGTATTATATTGCGATGATTAAGACCTTATGATTTGTGTCTGTAGACATCAACCTCTCTCAGCCACTTGTTCATGATTGGCGGCTAGAGATGGGGGATGGGCGGCTGCAATCAGCCCCTGACTGGCACTCTGCGCTATTTTCAGCTCCTCTCTCAGGGGAAGAGTGTCTCTTGGCTCAATCAGACACAAAGAGAATAAAGACAAGGACAGAGATTCATAAAAACATTCTCAATCATGTACACACTTACTGAGTAGGAACATCTTACAGCAAACACATGATATGGCCATCAGAAACCACAGCTTCTGGGAACACTTTAACTCCACTGATGCAGATTATAGATCAGAAAACAATTAAAATGTTGTGACAGACCTAAGAGTGTGTTTCAACCCACTCCTTAGTTTACTAGTAAGTGCACTTCTCAGAGAGTCAGGCTTGGTGAACAGAAGAGACTTCTTTAAAAACATTAAAAATCTTACTGTTCAAAAACTTTTGACTGGTAGTGTATAGTCAACTTGAATTTTTCTCTCATTTCTAGCTTTTAATTGGCTTAGAAATCAGATAACTGCTGGACAATAACCAATAATAATGATTTGTTTATATACTACAAACACTTTTTTATCACATAATAAGGCAGAATAGTTTCAATACTGTAATAAATGCTATGTCAGTTAGCACTGCATTGTTCATATACTTTATTTATTACCTGGAGATGACTTGACAAACACAAATAAACCATATTGTCGCAATCGTATGTTTAATGTCTTCATGTTTCCAAATGTTTCTGTTTTTCTGAAAACAACTGTTTTCATACAGCGATAGCTGGACGCTTTTGTCCATATTAGGAATTTCCTCATACGACTTTCTGCGCAAGAGCGCCCTCCGGCTACGAGTATGAATGAAACATACACTGCACAGAGTGTTTAGCGCTCCGTGATGTTCATCTCGCCTTATTCTGGGTCCGAATAAAACATCAGATCATGCACAGACTATCCTGTCTCTTTGAATTTACATCTATATTTATTCACACAGGCTCTTGAACCTCTATGCCAACACACTTGCCCGAAAAAGTGCGGGGGACGAATTTACGTGATATTAAAAGTGGTGGTGGTGGGGGGGTGGAATCTACGCCCCTGATGGCTGGTGTGTCCAAGATATCTACCCAAACTGATGGTGGAAAACACACATACACACACACACATGCACATACACACACAATCTGTCTGTCTGTGAAACTGATGCCTTTATGATGTGCCTTCAGACAAGTGATTTATTCACTCATTGTCTCTAGCTGATTGTACCTCTTATATTGATATACAGTGGGGTCCAAAAACTGGGAAAAAATCTGGGACTTTATTATTAGGTTTTTATTTAAACCTGGAAATACAGATAAACATTTAGAAATACAGTAATACTACATACTAAAAAATGTATTGCAATTTTTTAAACACCTTTTCAGTCAGTATTATGCAAGTAATATAATTTTTTCTCAGACTTTTGGACCCCACTGTTTATGGAGGAGAGGTTCAAAGAAGCTACTTCTTATGGCTGTTTACCTGACATTCTCATTTTCTACCTCTTTCTTTCTTGTTTAGAGGCTGAGCTGATGGCCAAGAGAGAAGCCCCAGCGACGGAGGCCACGGCCCTGGAGGCTCTGTTACGAGGTGATGGGATCTTGGACAAGAGGAACAATAACTCCAAAGAGGAAGAGACACTACTGGAAATCCAGGTAACATATTGACAGTCCTTTCTAAAGGATTTTATTGGTTTGGTCGTGCATGATAATATATTAAGAGTCAGTGTCAGGCTTACAGAGTGGTTTTCAGTTGGTGGGTCACGAACCAAAAATAGGTTGTAACTCTGTTCTGAAAGATTAACAGACAGCAAGGGGGAAAAAAACAATAATATACAAATAATAAAATGTATCTAACCATATAACCATGAATAATTAGGATATTTAAGGCACAATAAATAGGCCTATGATTTTTAAATGTGAAAAATGTGAAAAAAAGCCCAACAGAGATGCTTTGCAAAGGTTTGAGGTGATGGCGCAGAGCATTATAAGATGCAATCTACCATCAATCAGCGATGTCCAGCATTCACTGTTGCTGTAAAGCCCAATCCATCATCTGAGACCCCATCCTCCCCAGCCGCAAGCTGTTTTGTTTTCTACCTTCTGGCAAACAATACCGCGCTATTAGGGTAAGGACCACTAGACTCGATAAAACACAAACTGCAGCATGCTTTCTACACAATGCACTGCACATTATATCTTCACAATATCACACAAGCAAGAGTGATGTTGTACCCAAATATCATTAAAGAAAATGCACGACTGCAAGGAAAATCTTGATTTCATACAACAGTCGAATGGAAGTTAATATTAAGTTAGCTTACATTTTAAACCCAATTGTGCCAGATACAGTGTCTGTTTATGCTTCCAAGCGAAGCCACAGGAGAAGCAACACTCAGTAGGTGCTGTTTCATTCCTGAATGAATCAGCGTCTTTGAATGAATCGGTTGAATGAATGATTCAGTGGCCCACTCATAAAAACAATCAGCTTTTAGTGTTTCCTGTGCTAAGTTTTTGCTATGAAATCCAGTGTTTTAAGGACCCCATTGACCATATATGACAATAAAGTTCTCCACTCTTTCTGTATGTGGACTGTTGTCTTTTCTTGTGCAGTGCATTGATCTTTGTCATCTAATCGCTTACCCCAACTTTCTTCATTTTCTGCAGAGGGTGCTTGAGGCAGATGAAAATGGGGATGGTTTCCATGACGATGAAGATTTTGAAGTGGACACACCAAAGAGGAAGCATCGAAACAAAGGCAGGGTGAGTGATGAGCATGACTCATCAAAGTCTGCGGATGGTGTGAAGGAAAAAAGGCAAGTGAGAGCAAGAAAAAGAGACAGCCCGAGACAAGGCAGACTGACACCGGAGAGGGAAATAAAGCATGAAAAAGAAATACCTGTGTTGATCTCTCTGACTTATGGTGTGTGCAGAGACTAAGAAAAGATGAACGAGAAATGATCTAAACAAAAAGAAAGTGATTATATCATGTAATTTTCGGTTATTTGTTGACCAGGGTCGAGGCTCTGGGCGCAGGCGAACAGAAGCAGTGGCCAACGACGATCAGGATAAACCCTACGTGTGTGACAGTAAGTGTCAATTTCATAATTTCATATGCAACCTTTGTGCCTTCAATTCTAAGCAACTTGAAATAGATATATCATTTTGTATACGTTTGAACTGCAAGAGAAAAACTAATTAGGAAATTTGTAAACTAACCTAATCGAGTCCAAATGTCGACAATATTTTCAAAATCGGATTTTTATAAAATTTTACACCTGATAATAAAGAAACTTTTCAAATTCAGAGAAATTAAAAAATATATATATCTATTATAAAAGAAATATTTACAATTAATTAATCAATTAAGCAAATTTGTGACATTCTGAGTTCTGATTTTTTTTTCACTCAGATTAATTGTTATGCAGACAATATAATTTGTATTTAATTATTTTAAATTAAGTTAGAAGTCTCAGATTTTTGGACCCCAATAAATATTAATATAATTTTTTTCACTTCACACGGCTGTCAAATAAAATAATTAATGTTTATTTTCTCTGACTTCTGTTTTAATCATGGGATTTTAACTATTTTGACACTGTTTGTTTGGCTGTCCTATTTTAGGGTCCTAAACACGTCTTTCATTTTGTCATATGGTACCTGTCTGTGTTTCTGATCTTGGCATGGTGGCCTGTTATAATATCAAAAGCATGTGACAACCCGAGGAGATACTAGAGCTACTTTGGGTTCCAGAGGCCTCTCAACTTACTGCCTGTATTTTGTTTTCTGTCTCCTCTTTTGCTTTGTGTCTCCTCTGTTTCAGACAGATGCAAACAAAAGCATAACTCAAAAACCGCTGACTCAGGTATTCAGCCATGTTGCCATCTTCCTCTTGCTCGGACATGTGGGCTATGCTAATGACAAGGCTAAACAGTTAATGCTCATGTCGGGGAGAGATTATTAGCATAAATCATCTGGTTCAGTATTTTCTCTGTACTTAAGGAGGCATACTCTCCTTAAGTACACTTAAGTGGCCTTTTATTATATTAATATTATATTATCTGCAAGTACAGTTTTTTTTTTACAATCTTAAGATTTGAAGTACACTACAAGTGCGCATTCAATACAATTAAGCACACTATGGTTGGATATTTAGTGCTCCTTTAAGCATAAATGTAAAAATTAAACTTAAAGACAACATGAAAACAGCATTCAAAAGCATTTAACTGTAATACAGTTTACCTCTGAGTAAAATTAATGATCATTCAGGACAAAATGTGGGAAGGGATTTAACTTATTCATTGAAATTTAATTGGACAGGCTCACCCTTTTTTCCCTTTAAAATAAAAGTAAATTTCATGTTGTCTTTGAGGTAATGTAGGAAAAATAAATTGAAAATGTAATAAAAATCCATATGACACAGACCTATGTAAATCTAAATCAGTTTAGTTACTAATTATTGTCTTTAAAAATCAAAGAAAAATGTCCTAGTTGTGATCATATTCAGATACTGTACACATGCTTTCCTTCTCTATGGTTGGTCCATCCTTTTTCTTTTTAGATTTGTAGTGAGAGAATTTATTACTGTGAAAATATTGTGCTTACCTTGCTGGTATTGCAGTCTGCAACCCACAGATGCTTGACATGTTTAATGCATCCTCCTGTTAGTAGAAGGAAATCTTTTCTGTACTGAGGTTTACATAATATGACAACCTAAGCCAACATGGTCAATAACAGCAATTCATGTGTATTATGTATCCATTAAACACAACAACACTATGATATAGTTATGTGATATATCCCATGTCTGTAATCTAATAGGCCAACTGGCATTAACGTGTTTTCAGTGATCGGATCACAGTCCGATAGCACTTGACCAAATTAAAAGCTACATATAAATGCACCCAAGACATACAGTTTCAGTGACGGATTCTGACTGCATTCAACAGAGGTGTGATTTAATATGATAAATGTAATATTCATAGTTTTGCTCTGCACCTGTTTGTGTTCATGAAGACACACTGTGGGGCTGCAGTGCTAATACTGCGCCTTAAACACTGTTCTTACACCCAGCATGTCTCTCATTGGCTGAGAACATGCCATGTAGATTTTGTGATAGCGCCTTGACTCCAAAGCTAGCTGCTTTGTGAATTCCTTAGACATGTGTTAGCATCCCAGCTTGATTATTTGAATAACCTAGAATTATTTGAGAATAAGAAGTTTTTGCCAGTAAAATTAATTTCATTCTGACCAATGTTCTTTATCTTAGTTTGTGGGAAGCGTTACAAAAACCGCCCTGGACTAAGCTACCATTACACCCATACTCACCTTGCTGAAGAGGAGGGTGAGGAAGAACGTGAAACTGAAATCCCCCAATCTCCTCCTATCCACCATGAGAATCACAAACGTAAGTTAATATTAATTTTAATTGTAAAATAAGTGTTTTAAAATCTAGGACTCTGTTCCAACCAGGGGCAAATCTAGGATTTTTTCAACTGGGGGGCACAAGAGGGGCCACAATTATTATAGAGGGGCCAATCTTATGTTGTGTATTTATATGTAGAACTGTTAGATATCCAAATCATTTAAAGTTCAGTAAGCTTTAAAATCAGCAATAAACATGATACCTTATTATCTTTTAATGGCATTTATTCACTGCTGTACTGTAAATCAGAACAGTCAAATACAATTTGTATTAACTTTTCACTTTTCAGAAGTGAAAAACTGTAATAAATAAAAGAATCCAATCTGTGAATAGAGTACAACTCACAAAAATAATAAAATTCAAAATGAATGCTTTAATGCAGGGCCGATTGATGAGCTGATGAGTGGCAGTTGATGGTCAGAAGGATGGTGAGAGAGAGAGCACTCTGTGTGCGTGTGTCGGGGCGATCCCGCTCCGACTCTGCCCAGTCCTTTTCTGACGCTGAGATGGACATGGATTCTTAGTTTTCCTCAGGGTTTCCAAATAAAACGACGGTGGCAGTGGGCCTCGCCCCCGTAAGGCCACGAGCAATACTCCTCCGAGTCCTCAAAACGCGTGCCGGCAAGTCAGCGCAGTGCATGCAGTTGGACTCAGAGAACGCCACCTCAGCATGGGCCAGGCCCAGGCAGGAGATGCAGTGCTCATGTGGGTCCGGCAGATCGATGGGGCCCACTCAAATTTGGCAGAAGTTGCCATCAGATGCGGTGAAGAAACTGTCTTATCTTCAGGTGCATCTTCAACGATGGCAGCGTGAAGGAGAAGATTCTGATGCAATTGTCGCTCTCACCGCATTATATACTGCCCACACGGTTGTCAGTATTTGCATGGGATTTCCATAATTAGCTACAATTGGCCAGTTTATTGTACTGGCGTTATCCTATAAGGTTTCAGGATTTCGGAGAAGGGGAGGATATCCCACTGCGAATGCTTCGCAGTGTAGAGTGAACGCTCAAAAGGGAACCCTGGTTGTGTTATTATGCATTACATTCCACCCACAGAGCATTATAATGATTAGCATTATCTTGGTCTAGGAGCTAACATTGAACCTGGTCTGTCCTAACACTGAAAGATGGTACCAAAATCTAGTGCTGCAACTCACTAATTGAAAAAAAGCGGGAAAAAAGCAATTTTTTTCGTTGGAAAACAGCAGCTCGCTAGTCTTAGCCCCGGTTGTTGAGAAGCAACGCGGAAGCGTTAATTGTTCAAATACAAGCCGAAAGATTTGAATTTTGGAATGACAGAGACATAGAAGTGTGGGGCCACACTTGAGGTCTTATCAGTTTTCAGGGGGGGCAAGATCCCCCATGGCCCCTCCCCTGTCGACGCCACTGGTTCCAGCACCCAATATACCATGTAGATTTTAGACATTTTATGAATATTGTGTTTATTGCATGTTACTTTTTGTGTTGTGCCTGTTTTCTAAATTCATATTAATAACATTATTGTGAACAATTCATTAGGGCTGCACAATTAATCAAATGCGATTGTCATGCGCATTTTGTTAGTAAAGCCGGTTCTGTAATCAGCAGTAAATCATCATCACGTGCTTTCAGATGGAGCAGCATTTACTACACAGAGCCGTAGTTCACTGATAAGTTACGCAAAAAAAATCGCAGACGATTTTATTGCACGATTATGAAATCAAAGAAATCGTTCACGTGGACTACCGCTATAGGCATTTCCTGGGTTTCTTCTGCTAGACGTATTTGGAGTTTCAGCGCGAGAGCGCCCTCTGGTCTTTGGATGGAGATTTACTGCTGATCACAGAACTGTGCTTCACTGAAAGATACGCATGACAATCACAGCTTCTGTCGAATCGCGATTTCGATTCCATTTTGATTTATCGTGCAGCCCTACAATTCATCTATTCATGTGTTTAATTTGAAAAAAATTATGATCAAATTTTTCAGTTAAACCTGCATTCCGTCATTTTTTTGGTTAAAATGATCAGTTAATCAGTTATTGATTAAATGCATATAACCAGTCAGTGTGCAAAACTATCTCCTTACCTTAGCTTGAATCTCAACGGTAATAATGGTTTATAATTTGAGTGGTTCGGGTCATTTGTCTTTGCGCCAATACATCACATCTGTATACATAAAGAAGGATGCTAATAGGCTATATCGGTGTGTGGATGCTGCAGCTGGCGGATCATTTGTAGCCTCTTCTTACAGCAGCTGGAATAATTAAACTTGTCATTTTGAGAATAGAGTCTTAAATGGTGCATGATAGTAATGAAATACATGTAAGTGACTGAAATTAGATTATATTCCAGTTTCAAATGTGCATCTGATTACAGATACGTGGGATTACACTGTACTTACAAGATTTGTATTTCAAAGAGAACAAGTTCTAAGGAACATTAAATTGAGGTTAAAAGAACAATTTCTTTCGATGATATTTGAATGGTATGACAATTATAGATTAGACTGTACAGAAATTGAAATCTACAGATAACGCTAATACATACTAAATATACGTAGTCATGCAATGTCGATGTTCTTAATGTTAACAATTTGAGAACAAAGTATAACAATAATAATTATTATTTGCACGGTTTGACGTGATCTGAGCTAACTTTGCGATCGTTAGATTTAATCACCATTGGTAGTGCGATTTATTGTAAAGGTCAGAACAAAACTGGCAGACATGTTACTTGTTCAGATTACATTTTATGGTGAAATGTCTTATTTTGGACATACTTACAAGGCATTGTATCTGTAATTCCTGAATATCCACACTGGTGCATTGACTGAGAACCCACGTAAAGAAGAGAATTCTGCAAATAACTGCAATTGCAGGTTTCAAACAGAGATGGCGACAAAGAGGCAAAATTTATGGACTGCAGCTTTTAAAAAATGCCATAACTCGATTTTCCAATGAAATGACAGACTTTTTTTTTCTGGTAGCATTTACCAGATATCATTTAGTCTGCTTTAACTCCGCCCCTTTTCAGATCTGCCTCCATTCAGTCAACAATCGATGGATTGAACTGTGTTCTTTTTCGATAATCCGTTTCACTTGGATGTATGTCACAAAATGAAGAAATAATCTGTCGCTGCTTATGTTACATTATGACTTTAACCATGGTAAAATCAATGTAACAGCCTATTTCTTTAGTTAACATCCCTGTGTGAATTTTAGCATAACAATAGTTAGTAGAAATTATGTGCTCTATTGCAAAACACTAGTGAGCTGCCTCAATGTCTACATATTCTATATAAATATTCTAATAATATTTTAATAGATATTATTCAGTATTCAATAAGCAAATAAATACATAGCACACACAAATGTTTCCATTTATACTTTTTTAAATACTACACTGCGCATGATGTCACAGTTTTAGGATGCCTAAAATAATACAAGTAATGCTTTCTTAGTTTGCTAGGATTTGGAATAGGCCGCCACTGTTCTTAAATGTTCTCTTCCCCTTTTTAATTTGCACTATTTTTACAGCACAGAAAGGGCCTGATGGCACGATCATCCCTAATGACTACTGTGACTTCTGTCTGGGAGACTCAGGCTCTAACAGGAAGACAGGCCAGGCTGAGGAGCTTGTTTCCTGTTCAGACTGCGGCCGTTCTGGTGAGTCTTTCACATCACTGTATTCTCTATTACTCACAGTTACAGTATCATTATACACACACATCTTTTGTTTTTAAATGAATTAAATGTAGACATGTTTGCACACAACAGTAAAATGTCCTAGAAATTGTGATACCAATTATTTTCTTAATATATATTTTTTGAGTTGATCTGAAAAAGCTTTAGTACATTTAATTAAAGCCCATAAAATCTAATATATATGTATTCACCAAAAGAAAATTACAAATCCCATTTAATGCTTTATCATGTCATGCATCAATAGCACATTTCATCAGCTTGTTTATGCATATCCCATCTTTTCATGTTTTTTGCTAGAGCATGTTTATTTATTTTATGGGGTTTTGCTGAGTTGTTGTGATTTGGGTTTGGCTTGGCATAACGGTGTCATATAGAAACGGTTTCCTAAACACAAATTAATTCTACTAGAAAGGCTTTTTAACGGAGAGCTGCCATTAGCAGTGATTTAAACCCAGACTAGGCTTAATCTGTGTCCTGGAAACCAGCACAGTAGTTCAGAGATGGGTAGATTACCACTGTTTCCATGCAGTTGTTTATCTGTTGCAGTCTTGGGGTTTATTCATTAATTCTTGCGGTATTTACAAATATGTCGATTAAAAGCAACATGTGAGCAGAGGTCGGACAGTTATTTTAAAAATGAATTCCAGTATAAATTACTTATTAATTACTAAAAATGTCATCAGTAATTTAATACAAATACCACACCACAATATGAAAGTAACAGTCTGATTGTGTTTGATAACTTTTGGATTTATCCTGCATGTGCAATGAGAAAATTAATGATTACTATACGATTTTTTTTACTTAAAAATATTTTGTGCAACAAAAACACACTTTTTAGAAAAACACACTAATTTTTTAGACAGTGAAAATAATGGGGGAAAAAAAATTATATAAATATAAAAAATTGTAACTTTATATTTTTTCTTTTTTGTTTAATTAATAATGGAAATGAAAATATATACTTTTCATTCAAATCTTCATTTATTTCTTTATTTTGTTATTGTCTCTTTCTAATTTTCCAATATCCAGTTTTACTGCTAAGATTGTTTTGTTGCCATACAAAAGACATTTAAGTAAAAATCATCTGTTTGACATTAATATTCTGCTATGAGTTTATTCTAATGAGAGTTGGAAGGGAAAGTAGGTGCAGTTCTGTGAAACTGCTGTGGGAGTGTCATGGGATTCTATCGAAACCGTTAAGTCATGCCGTTTTTCATGGCTGATGCCAAGACTACAAAGTCCAAAAGCATCTTACTGTACATCTAATTTAGATTGCTTAGGTTGACGCAAAAAGTTTTCAAGATGACAGACCTGAGAACATTTGCTCTTTGTAATTATGATAATTTACATTTCCAACCAATCCACTTGGTCTTAAAAAAAAAAAAATTCTGATGAAAAAAAAAAAATCCCATGCTTACATTTAGAATGTGCATTGTGTTTGTAAGTGTAGACGTGTGAGCCAAATCCTGCAGTGTTGAGAATGAGCATTTATGTGACATGTGGCCTTTTTGTTCATCTCTTTGAGTGCTTGTGTTTTGCATTTTTAATGCAGTTAATGAAGTTATTTTCCTAGCAAATTATCCTGGAAGCGTTAAATATCCCACATTTATTTCCTGAAATTATTTTTGAACTCCTAACATGCTCATAGTTCTTAACTGTTTAGGGCATAATCAGTTATCTCAGTTCATGTGCGCAAAATATTCTCATATTTATTTTGCTCATGTGCTTCCATTCTTTGTTTTTCTTTCTTGGCTGTGTGATCCACTGCCTTCTCATAATCGAACGGTAAATAGCAAGAACAGGGAGAGACCAAATGATGTATTCCTCAGT